ACTCGTTACCTCTCGACGAAAAAAGCACAGACAACTTTAATCATGATGAAGACAAAGAGACCTCCACTATCGATTATCGTGGAGCTAAGGAATGTCAAGAGGGACTTGATGGCATTTCCGAAGAGGAGGTGCAAAATGAACCCAGTGGTGTGAATCAAAGTGGGAAATTAAGCGCTAGAAGCCATTTTTCAAAACGCAACTCATGCTCCAACCCTGAGGGAATTAACTCGTCTGGACGACATCATGGTTGTGATCGAGTCATTTTGTTGGCTGTGTGTTTCATTTCCGCAGCGTCACTTTTGCTTACCGTGTTGATGCTATTTGGCGTAGTTGCACCTCTGAATTGCGCCTGCTCTGTAGAAACAGGTATTTCCAATTATTTCCTGTGCATAACTTTATTCTGATGTGTTATTTGAATGAACCTTTTTTTAGTTGATTGTATAACATCTGATAAAATTGTTACTTGAAGACTTAAAGTTTTCAGTAAAGGTTATCAACGGTAAATAACGCTATGTTTATTTGGCGAATGAAACTTGCAGCCTTCAGCGTTCTGCTCGTGAGTAAACAAATAGTATTAATTGCATTCTGTAGATTCTTCGAGTACCACGACAATCCATGTCTCTTTTTTCCGGTCTTCGAAAACAATGTTCCTCTGGCAAATTGTACTCCTTTTGAGATTAAGCGAAATCTTACGTTACTGTGGGGTAATTTAGTTAATCAGTCTTAAATATTGTTGTCACTGATACCACGTTTATTGAGTACTGTACTTGGACTGAGCAAGTCTGGGGATCGTTCAGTAGAAATGGGCCAAAAAACTGAAAGTTGCTGGTTGCAACTGGGTAAAAAGTCGAAGTTTACGGTAAGTAAGGTCTTAGATAGAATTGAAAAAGTATTAGTACTGCTTTATCACGGCGGCAAGCTTCTTAACTAATGATTCCGGCTGTTTGCGTACAAACGGGCCGCTAATACTGTTTACATTGGTTCTCAAAATTATTAATTTTCCTGAATCTAGCCAAGAGGCTAGAATCATATAGCATTTTAACACGTGAGGTATTATTTCATTTTTGTTCGGTCTGTTCGCGCCACTTTTTTGCGATCTTATATCAATAAACCACATTCGTGAACAACTGCACACGAAGCTTCCACAACAAACAAAAACATTAAACTAGACTGAATGCTGTTTTAAAAATGTGAAAAGCCTTCCGGAGAAAAGTAAGTACGGTATTATCTACTCTGGTGGAGGTCGATATGCTGTGGTTAACGACTAACATCAAGTAAAGTGGAATGATCTTAGACACTTATCTCTTTTCCAACAGAAGCGGTCGTTCCATTACTGAGGCCTCCAGCGCCCATTAGCTAGTATTCTAATTTAGTTGAAAATGAACAAGTGAAAATGTCAGAGCTGTCCTTTATATCACGATAGACTTAAAATTAAACTGCACATGCCTGAATTTTTATTGCTGGGGTTGAACCGAAAACGGTGATTTGGTCTAGCTTTATCTCGTTATTCGGCGGGTTCAGAGGTAGCTCTGTACTGTAACAAAAACGGATTGATTGAAACTTGGGCGATTAACTGTTGTTAATTTTCATTTGCCATCAGACGCGGCGTCTTTTCGGAAATTTCCTCGCGGGCCTGCTCCGACAAGTATACACATTAGCAATACTTGATGACGCTAAATTATCTTCATCACATAACTTAGCGGCTCAACATTCATTTCCCAGGCGCTTTGCTTTGTCTACTCTCGCTCACAACGGATTAAAATTTCGGCGGGCCTAATGTGTAAGAAACCTGTTCCGCGTCCCAGAGTTATTTAACTTGACTTCTTCTTTAAATTGATCTTTGTTTCTAACAACTAAATACAATATAGTGCAGCACCACAGTATCTACAGTATTCTTTATTTGTTATTGGGAACTATCGTGTTTTTCCTGAGCCATGGCCAATCTATAAAATCTGCTAATTTAACAAAATTGCAAGTTTGTCCTTGCCTCACGGTTGTGTTATGTTTTTATGCTGCTGACGTTCTTTTTAACTCAAAGTGTGCTTTTGGCGTATAATACTGCTAAGAGGACTGTTGAACTTTGATGAATCAATACTACCACTCTTTGTCACAACAATAAACTGGCAAATGCGCAATCAGTGGGAAGCACGTTTTTACTATTTTCCTGACATAACACGTTATCAACAAAAGTTTAAAAAAGATCATTAATTGATTTAGTGTTTATAACTCAAACAAAAAAGAAGAATGGGCATGTTGAGATACAACCTCAGTTAAAAAAAAAAGTATTTACATCTACGCTGGGCATATGACGCATTTCCTATATTCAATGCTCTGCTTGGTGTCATTCGCTTGTTTCCTTTACCAACAGGAGGTGATCCCACGGTATCTAAGGCCGAGCATGCAGAACTTTCGAAGANGCGTGACAACAGACTGTAACGCAATGAAGAATGATAGTGTCCAGAGCTGCACAGATTATTCGGACCGTCAAGCGACACAGCTGTATCACGTGATCCCCCAGATAACGGCTGCCATGGCGACAACTCACAAACATTGCTTTAAAAATTCGCATTTATCCAGTGGTATTCGTTCAGTAGAAATAAGGGACTTGGTTTGTAACAGGTTACATTGTGTACATACCAATATGGCTCTCAATCCACGAGCTCCTGTCTTCTTTTCCAAAGCTTTTTTGGCGATTAGCTTTAAGGCATCAGGACTGAGATTGAGTTCAACCTGCATAAAGAAAGAGCTCAGATTTGACACAGACTCTAGATTTAGCATGAAACTGAATTCGATAATCGCAAACTGTCAGAAGTCTCATACCACCCACTATGGACAAGTTACTGACTACTTGTTAACAGAGAGTGAGGTCTTTACTGCAAAATCTCAAACCGAGACCTTGCCGGATGGCGAGGTCAATACGGCAAAGCCGAGTTTTTAGATTTACCCGTTAAGACCGAACGTTCGAGGTTAAAATGTTGTTTATTATATGGCTTTTTACTTTGTTTTTTGCAGGCTCGTAATCGGCCCGTGGGCATTATGGGAGAAAAATGCCCTTGAATTAGCCAATCAGAGCGTGCGTTATATCAGCTACTAACACAAGCCAGACCACGAGTCTCTGGCAACAAATGGCGGGCAAGAGTTTCCGGCCCTTTTCCAACAATTCTTGGTTTTCACCAGACGTCACGGCGGCCATGTTGGAGCCCCGAAACAAAGAAACGACGGCCATGTTGGAGCCCAAAATTTAACCTCAGGGAATTCAACTCTATTTTTAGGTAAATCTTTTCTTTGTTTCGGTGAGAAAACACGGCTGTTGATCACGTGAGTGAAAACCAAGAATAATCGAGTCTATAACAAAATTCTCGATCGTAATTGACTCTCCGCGCGTATTTGTCACGTAATCGGCGCGCGATCACGTGAATGTCCAATTACAGGTATCCAATTTGAACTTTTTGAATTTGGATAACCACGTGATTCGCACGTCAATTACGCGCGCTTTAATAGTTTCTTTCGTAATTTTTTCTACAGTTTTCAAAACTTATGAATAGGGCTACAGACGTTTTCACTCAAAAAAAGTTCTTAAAAGACATTTTTAATTCCAAAATTTGATATAGATACGATTAATTAGTTACTGGACCTCGTGTCGTACAATTCATAATGATAATAGAACCGAGTGGAGTTTAGTTCGGTCTGTAGTCATACGAGTGATTAACAAAATCGGACGACCGCGAAGCGGGAGTCCGATTTGTTGATCACGAGTATGATTACAGAATGAATTGGACGACGCGAAGCCCTGTTACCAATTAATCGAAACTANCGAGTGATTAACAAAATCGGACGACCGCGAAGCGGGAGTCCGATTTGTTGATCACGAGTATGATTACAGAATGAATTGGACGACGCGAAGCCCTGTTACCAATTAATCGAAACTATGACAAAATTCGAGAAACGAACAAACCATCGATTGAGCGCTGAACGATTTTAAAACGTTGTTATGAATGCTGAAAAACACAGCAGTTTACTCAACAAAGTGCACCGCAACAGCGCGCGCAAAATGACGCGTACTGTCCAATTACAAGCATGACGCGTATACTGTCCAATTAGTCCTCAAATCGGGCTACTGATAGCCAATCACGTTCGAGAATTTTGTCATAGTTTTGATTAAGGGAGTAATCGTGCTCGTAATTTCAAATCGGCCTCGCACTTCGCGCTCGTCCGATTTTGAAACTACTCGCGCGATTGCTCCCTGAATTGTATTCCACTCGGTCCAATTACTATTACTTATACTTTGACCGATCAATACTACCACTCTTTATTAAGTGAGTGATACTACACTAATGCTATCACACAAAAGATCCATTTAAGTATAAGTGATGGAAAAAGCTGGCAACTGTTGTCAGCCACCTTAACAGCGCTGGACTGGTGGTTGGTCTGGGAGCAACGCGAACAAAGGTGAGAGAAAAAGTATGATATAATATTTTACTCATTTACAGTGCGAATAACTCAAACCGGGTCACTTGGAAAAGAGTTGACCAAACAAAACAACAAAGGATATCGATCTTTTTCTCAAACAAACCAACAACATTGAAGAATACCAACAATAGATCTTAACAACTATAAAGTGCGAGGTACTGAGAACCTCTCAGGACACGTCACGAGAAAGCTACCAGTCCATTGTTCTCAGTTTAGTTTTTGATTGGTTAGTTTTCTCCAAGGGGCCCGGTTCGAGTAGACGAACGATACGAAGGACTTCGAATAAAAAGAAACTTAGAGAACCCATGTTTAAGTAAGTTGCAGAAGAAAGCCTGAAGATGGGTTGAGTTACCTTGTCCATACTAAACAGCGCTTGATACTGTGGTACAAGAGCATTTCTAGGCTCCGTGAGTATCTTAACCAGGGAGTCCTCATCCAATGAGTGTAAACTGACCACTACGGGAAGACGACCCACGAATTCGGGTATCATCCCGAACTCGACGAGATCCCGCGCTTCGACTTTACTTAGCAGTTTATCCCGTTCGGCGTTATCTTCTCTGACGTCAGGTTGAGAGTTCTTGAAGATGTCAAGCTCTTTTTCTTTGGAACCGCGATCACTCGTAGGAGCTCCGAATCCGATCACCTGTTTGAAAATAATGAAGATTAACATTAGACGTGTTGAAACAGAGGTACATTGCTTCATGGTTGGAGATTTACATCACAAAGATACCATACCGTAAAAATACAGTTATTATCTCGTACGATATTGTCCGAACTCAAGGGTGCTACACATTCGACTAACAGTAACTAATGAAGCAATCACACCTTCGATCCGCTCCAGTGGGTAGCCACGCCCAAGCACAGGAACACACGTGTTCTTTTTATGTAGGTAAGTTGCATCATGATTGGTTTAAGTTCTTATCCTGATTGGTTGAAAAACACCCCGTTTCCTCTGATTGGTTATAGCCTACGACGTTTTATTAGTATGGGTGATCAAATGGTGGCGAGTGAAATTAGGAAATAATTTCACGCGCGTTTTGTCAAAATTCTAATAATTTCCCCAGCCTTAACGCAAGTGAAATTATTTCTTAATTTCCCGAGCATACTATTTGATAACCTTTAAATATCATGGGTGACAAATTGCACTTACAATCGTGGGTTGTTGACTTGTTTATTGTATCGAGAAATTTCGCGCCAAACCTTGTCATGACAATTTTGTTATTTCACATGTAAAATTAAAAATCAACGCTGAAATTTCGCCCTAAATTTAAGGAGTAAATTGTCACCCATGATATTATAAATCTTCATTGAAAAAACACGCAAATGTAAACGAAACATAAAAACTTAACGTGAAAGCGTCAAGGTCCAAGTTCGCTTAAGACCTGTCCAGTCTGAACGGTGGACAAATTAGTACCCTGCCGTGAAGTCCTTATGGAAACAGTTATCTCTGTACCTTCTCTTGGTTTCTCTTCTTAATAATCCGATCCAGTCCATTGAACGCTCCAGACGCAACAAACAAGATGTTAGTAGTGTCCACGGCTACACTGTCGCCTCGCATCTTCCTGGAGTTTCTCTCTGGTACATTCACTACCGTGCCTTCAAGGATCTTCAACAAGCCCTATGAAAAGGATAGATTGAAACATAGGCACGCAAGGCGTGCAAGAGTTATTTTTTTGTGAACTATAAGTCTCGGAGATAGCAGCATTCATGGAACTGTTTACAGTAATGATTTG